ACTCTTTTGACATTTCCTGGGCGCTCGAAATCATTTCTGGGATGTGGTCCTTAAGTGCGATGGGAGCAACATGATCCTGGGCCAGGTTGCGAGCGGATAGACGCAAGAGACCCACAGAGGCGCCGGGGGATGGACGTCCTGGGCGACGGAAGGAAGCGGGTTCGTCGTCACTCAGGAGGAAAAGAAACACACAGACACAATTAATCGTCGACTCCCAGGAAAATATGCAAAAATATGGGAAGTGGGGGGGAAGACAAAAACCCAGAAAATATGGGAAAATATGGGGGATATTTTTATTTGTGTGTATTTATTTGTGTGTCCTAATTTCCCTTTAGTCACCGACGCTGGGGCGCGCAGGCTGCCCGCGTGCGGTCGCGCGGTGGCGCCCTCGTTCCCAATGCAGCGTGCCACGCTGCAGCGCCCGCGGGCGATTCGCGTAAGGTCGCTGCGCCATCTTGCGCAAGACCTCCTTCTTTTCGTCACTCACATGTCGTCAGAGCCCCGAATCATCAGGGGTAACTCGGGTCAGGGATAACTCGGGTTCCTTTTTCGGGAATCCAAACCCGAGTTATCCCGGACCCGAGTTATCCCGGATAACTCGGGCGCCCAATCTTTGCGCAAGACCTCCTTCTTTTCGTCACTCACATGTCGGCGGGGCTTCCGGGGGGAAATGAGAGGGCGTGGGTCTTCTCAGAAGGCTCCTCGGAAGTCCTCCAGCCTTCTGAGCAGTTCTCTGAGCCTTAGCCGAGGACACTGAACACTTCTTGGAAGGCGCGAAGGCCTCTCAGAAGCCCTGCCGCCTTCTGCGAAGGCCACCTCCTTCTCACTTCTCCCCCTCCCTCGCCGCCGATGGGAGACCCTTCCTCCCAGACCCCCACGTCATGATTTGTTCATAACGTCGACCCCCAGAGGTCTCGACCCATTCCCCAGGACCGGTTTTTCACCCTGGAACTTGTTTTCACGACCCGGAGGCCCAGTAAGGGCCCCCAGAGGCCAGAAAATAGCGAATCAAATGCCGTCGTGCTTTTGTTTATGACTCGAGGAGGTCGGAGCTTTTCGTCGATCACTGTCCACGCCCAATGCACCAGGGGTCGTGCGCAGGCACCTCGAGGAGTGGCGGCTGTGGGGGTGCCCGCCCGCCCGCATGGGCGGTCGCGCACCTGCCGTGGCCGTGGCCGCTGACTCGCCGATCAGGCCAAGACGAGCAGGCCCGACGAGGGGGGCACAGTGATGCAAGGCTGAGGGGGCCGAGCGGGCATTCCTCTGCCATGCCTTCCTGGCACTTCTCACGACCAATACAAGGTAAGTGTGCCCTGAGGCGGACTGACTTTCAAGCTTCTGTCTCAACTTTGAATGCCCACTTGGAACATGTAGCACAGAAAGTTGTGCAGATGAGGAGTGCCGAACGGTCATTCATTGTCCCTGGGCGCGTGGCTGAAGTGAGGTTCCGCGGTGCGGATTGTTGTTGTTGAGTTTTCTTTTCTGAAGAATGACTTATGTTGACCCCCCCCCTCCGGTGACCATTGCATGTTTCAATAGGAGTGCTCACCCCTGGGCTCGCACCCGTTTTTGTTACAAGAGAAAGCTGGGCGTCACCAAATTAGGCCCCTGGCCCCCGAGATACAACAACAACAACAACAACGGATCCCCCCAGATGCTTCTGCACGACGGCTCTCGTGCGGGACTGTCCGCACGATCTATGCAGGAATCGCGCTCTCGCATTGGACTTCCTCGCGATTTATTCAGAATCGCGTAGTAGTAGTAGTAGTAGTAGCAGTAGTAGTAGTAGTAGTAGCAGTAGTAGTAGTAGCAGCAGCAGTAGTAGTAGTAGTAGTAGTAGTAGCAGTAGTAGTAGTAGTAGTAGTAGCAGTAGTAGTAGTAGTAGTAATAGTAGTAGTAGTAGTATTGTTAGTAGTAGTAGTAGTAGCAGTAGTAGTACCAGTAGTAGTAGTAGTAGCAGCAGCAGCAGCAGCAGTAGTAGTAGTAGTAGTAGTAGCAGAAGTAGTAGTAGTAGTAGTCGTAGTAGTAGTAGTAGTAGACGTAGTAGCAGTAGTAGTAGTAGTAGCAGCAGCAGTAGTAGTAGTAGTAGCAGTAGTAGTAGTAGTAGTAGTAGTAGTAGTAGTAGTAGCAGTAGTAGCACGATCTCGTTGTGGCCTTCCTCGCGACTCCCTTGGCAATCGCAGGCCTCACGCTTCCGCAGCCCGCCTGGGTCGGCCTGGCCGCCTGGGCCCACACCTTCCCGGCCCGCCCGCTGGGGGGATGGCCTGCCCGAGCCGCCCGTCTGGTTCTGCCACGTGGTTTCTCCTCCTGCCCCCCTCCTGCTAACCTCTTTCGTGCTCCTTCTCCCTCCCGCCCCCTTTCGTCCGCCCTCTCTTCCCTTGTTTTAGGGGGCTGCAACATACACGCGTGGCAGGTAAGAAAGCCATGCCCCCAAGGGGGTGCGATCGAAGACGAAGAGGGCGGGTACCAGCGGTTTGGGATATGCGTGCTGACTAGGAGC